CCAGGAGGCTCTAACAGTATCGTAGTAAGAATTGTGGCGGACCCACATGTTCTGGAAGCAGAAAGACGCTCGTCGAGGGGAAATAGAGAACCGACAACGAATCAGAAGGGAGGCATGGTCGGATCCAATTCGAGGAAGGTGCGTTACAACCGTGGTCGCAAACACCCTCGTCCACGCCTCTGAGTAGAGAGCGCGGTCGAGCCTCTCCTTGACACCGGCCCTCTCCCACGTAAAGGGAGCCCCTTCTCAACCAGCGTCGATGAGCTCACAATCCGAAACAGCATGCGAGAAATCTAAGATCTCCGCAGAGCGATCCGATACACCACCTATGCGTTCATTGGGATGCAAGAATATGTTGAAATCACCGCTAATCATCCACGATAATCCCTCTATACTCTCAGCAATCTCACGCATGGTGTCCCAGAGGTCATAGCGACCAACCCTCGCACAACTGGCGTAAACCAAGGTGTGGAAGATTGGCTCCGGAAGGTGGGCGGCGGTGAGCTTCACGTGCAAGACTTGATCAGTATCGCGGAGGATCTGACAAGTAAAGTCACGCGAGTGGAAAAACCAAATCTTGTTAGAGGTGTTTCCCATCCCGGCATGAAAACCAAGGCGTCGCGAGTATACGTCAAAAGAAGGGTCACGAGTCATAGGCTCTAAGAAAGCCGCAAAGTCAAGGTTATGCTCACGAATGAGAGATCTAACATGAGCAAGGGTGGTCCTATTAGCCAGCCCACGGGCATTCCATGTAAGCGATGTGACTGACATGTCAAACGTCAGTGGGACCGCCAAACTGGAGTTGTCCGTAGTTAGGCTGTGTCTGTATGTCTAGTAGGGTCAGAGCTCGGCTAGCAGAGAGCTGTGCAGTCATCGATCTGGTCTGTGGTCTCCGGTGCTCTGGGATCTCCTGAGAAGGTCCCCCTTGTATAGAGGGAGACTCCTGGGGTAAGAGGATGAGCTGAAGGTGCTCCAATCCCTCAGGGATCTGATCCTGGCCCTGTGGGGAAGATGAGCCAGACCCGCTAGCGAGGGATGAGGGGGAAGTGGAAGGGAGAGTCAGAAGGGGCTCGGCTGGTGGGCAAAGGAGAGAGGTAGGGTGAGGGAAGGGCTCTACGATCATGAGAGCTGAGGAGGAAGGGGGAGCCTCGATACACAATGGTATGGCAGGAGTCTCTATCTCATCCACTAATAGATCATCATCATCAAAAGGGGAGCTGGTCGATGCTCCCAAATGGTCGGAGGAAATGAGGAGCTCCTCCTCCGACTCCGAGTCAAGCACGGAGAAGCGAGAATGGGTAGCTATGGGAGCTGTCTGGAGGGACTGGTGGGGGAATAAGCCTGTAGCTTTGGCCTTAGGCCGATCAAGGTTAACCTCCTTGGGCTGAGTGCCCTCGAAGGTGACCTTGCCCTTGCCCTTTTTTCCCTTCGGATCGGGGCCGTGGGCCGGGGCCTT